GAGGGATGGGTACTTCATCTTACTGCTGGTAAGCTGAGACTCAGATTGGATGTTAGAATTTATATTCATACCACTCATTGTAATGCAAAAGATGGTGCCACCAGCAGTCCACAGTGGACTTTCCATGATGACAAAATCTTTTTCTCCAAAAATTTGGGAGATAAAGATTTTGTAGCTATGTTTTGCGGATGTGGCACATACGAGAGTACACCCACCAATATACTATATTGACTTGCCATGGTGGTTCATTATCCAAGTTCTTTAAAAATCAGCTCCTGAATTATTATCACATTTATATCTAAAGGAACCAGTCAAAAGAGAAATATGGAGGCTGCCATTGCCGATCCCCTGCTGAAAATGCTTGTTGCATGGCTCTTTTGCTTTGGTACTGGGTAAATTACCTGAATAGTAGGCTGATTTTTTTTTAAACCGTTCACCAGCTTTTCCAATCTGCATACTTACAGGTCAGTAAGTTAAAAAAAGGAAGACAATTTGATTTACTAAGGCCTAAATCACACTGGTGTACTTACGCATACACCCATGTGAGGGTTGTGTTTGCCCATACGGGGAGGGATAAGTGTTCAGTCCCATTTGGGAACAGTTGCTCTGTCCATGCAACTGCTGTGTCCCAACTGGCATAAATGGGACTACCTGCAAGGGCAAGCATGGAACACGTGCATCCTCATGAGGGCAAGCATGGCGCATTCTCAAGTACATCCATGTGAACGAGATCTACAGCACTAGAAGTTGTACACCTAGCAAAGTAAATGTTTACTTTCCAGAGTCAATAAAGTGATGAAGCTCCATCCAGCCATAGGTGAGCAATAACGCTGTAGTTTTAATTTTGTCTTGCATGCAATTAGATAAGCAATTTGGTATCCAAAGGTAAAACAGCTTTACCTTATTTACTAAACATTCACTTTGTTAATTGAGCATTCTATTTCTACAGTAAATTAACCCCAGCCAGTACAACAGCCTAGCAACTAAAATTTCCAGAAGGAGGTCAATAATGACAGGAACAGCACATATGTTTCATTATCAAATGACAAGTTTACTTTAAAGTACACATCATTATAATGCAGGCTTTCAATACAAACCTCTTCTTTGGAGAATGTTGTTTGCCTGGCTGTCAAGCAAATGTGTTGGCTTCAATGTTTTCTAAATGATTAACTGGGGACAATATAGAAATAATGACAGTCTTGTGACATTCAGTTCAGCATGCTTGTTCCAAGTATGTGATTCAAAAGTAGTGAAGGTAAACACAGCCTAGCACCTAGTATGTTTAATTTGACCAGCAATGATAGCACCCATACCTCTGTAGGGATGAGTGAAATTGAGAGCTTTAATTTCCACATACTGTTTGTAAAATTCAAGATATTTTGGTGAATTGTCATCAATTTTGCAAATTACATTGGAGCCAATATGAAGACAAAGGTAAGGTGGTTTTTAAGGGTGCAATTGGCTTTAAATGGTGCCTTGTGGTTACTAAAGCCCATTTATACTATTCTGAATTTGTTATTTTGCAAAGCAGCCCCTCAATAGCCCCATTTAATGTTTTCTTTACAAAAGAAAAAAAGTAAAATAAAACATTTTCAGTTGCAGAACACAATTACCAATCAAATACACAAACATCAAGAAAAAAACACAAATTCAACAAGCACTAAATTAAAAGTACCCTAACTACACTACCGCTCCAAAAACACGCTTTAAAACAAAAATAGAATAGTAGATTAATTTTTCAAGTAAATATCCAATAGGCAACTCAAAAATGAACAATTTAACTGAAATAACTCTGCTCATCCCTACTCCTAATAGGTGTAATGTAGGTGTCTATGGTACTTCCTGCAAGTGATATCAGTAAACAACTTGTACCCATGTCCAAATGTGCTGTTTATCCAGTCTGAATAGTATGACAGTGGCTCCTTCAATGCAATGTTGCTCAACTTGTTTTCAGTCAAGGCACCCTTTAAAAATGATGTATAATCTTGAGGCACCCGATTCTAAAATGTAACAAAATGAATAGTTTTACATAATTCAGCAGCGTCGTCACATGTAAGATACCCAATATTGCTTTTACAAACCAATATACCTTTGGACACTGGTACTGACTAGTATTTTCTCCTTCAGTTTCTCCTCCTCATTTAGCCAACGTGACCCCAAGGCTGATGAGGAGGGTGTTCTCAGGTGCCTGATATCTTCATTGGTTGTTAGGACTCCAGCATCTGCTCTGCACAGTGCCCAAGGTAGTAATGTTGCACAATGAAATCCTGTGGCCTTACATAATAAAAAGGCAGACTTGAGCCACCCACTGGCTTGTTGACGATTTTTGGCAATTTGGGGAAATTTTTAGCCATTTTGCCAAGGCATCCCTGAAGAACCCAGAAGGTACCCTAGTTCACAAAGGCTGCTCTACTGGACTGAAGCTCTACTTACTAATTTTGCAAAATGTGGCAACTGCAAAAGTCAAGACCTCACATTATGCAGAGGTTTATCCTAAAATTGATCCAGGTTTATATTTCCTTCTATAGCACCCTCCTAGAGTAGATTGGGATGCTAGGTAAACTTAGCTGGCTTCACTGTTGTCAGAGGTGCAGGGGTTGGTGAATTTAGATACTCAATGTTTCTTAGGTTGATCCTCTGTTACTTCCCCCTGGCTTCTACAGGGTTCTAGAATCATAGTGGGAGGAAAAACAGGCATGCAGCATGAATTTTTAAAGGACTCCAGCCAATCCCTGGGGAGGTGTGCCCAGTTGGTGATGAGAGCCCATAAATAGTCTGAGGCCTAAGCAGCAGGGTTCACAGTTCCTGGGTCGAGTCCTGCTGGATGACACCCCTGTGCAAGGGGGGATGGGGGGCTCTGGCCCTGGGGCAGATTTCTAGAAGAACCTGTTAGGAGGACACCAAGGTCCCAGCTAGCCTTAGCTGGGGGGGCTTATTCAGGAGCTTTAGTCTAGGAATCAAGTTGGGTCTGGAGACACTCATAGCAGAGAATCAGGATGAAGTTGATAGGAAAAAGTCCACCTTTCCTATGGTGGTGTGAACCTACATCTCCCTCACTAGGCAGAGCCTGATGGATATTGGCAGGAGGCAATCAATGATCCTGTGGCTGTATGAGTAAGCGACCTCAGTGCTGAAGAGTTAGTGACTATATGCAGCTTTTAAACCCTGGAAGAAGTACAAGTCACCGTCAGTATAGAGATCCTATGGGACATCCCTTTTTGTACTGTGCAGCCATAAGGTTGAGGAGTCTTCAAGCTATTCAGTTCTACAGTTTATTGGGTTATCCCATATTCCATATCCAAGTTCATTGTTCCCAATAAAAACATAAAAAAAGAAACCCCTAGACTGTTCTTTGGCACCAATGGAAGAATGAAGAAAATTCTGGGTACCTGGCTGTGTGTGATATAAGTGGGGAAATAGGGTTACGTTCCCCAGCGGCTCCTCTGGGGGTGTGCTACACCTTTATCATTATATGCCCCAAATTCATAAAAAATGGAGCAGACAGAAACTAGAGGAGCTGCTTATAGTGACCAATCAACATTTATCTTTCATTTTCAAACATTAACTGAACAAGATGAAATTAGAATCTGCTTGGATGTCACACAGAACTGCTCCAGATTTTGTCTGCTCCAACTTTCATAAATTCCCCCCATTGTGTCAGTCGGTCAACATCCTCCTGCCACCCATAATGTAAGCTAGCTTGTGTGCATCTCTCTTGCAAAATGCCTTTATCCCCTGCACTAATGTAGTCTTACAGGTCCTGAAGAAATCCTATAATTTATAGTAAGGTGCACATTATTCCAAGCATTATTTATTTATATATGCAGGATTGGCCAAATTCTCATCAGAAGGCATAGAAACATTCTATCTAAGCAAAGTATATTATTATTTCTAAGCTGAGAGCATACAATTTAACAATGCTTATATTTTTTTTTTCCCCTCAGTTTCCAGGCTGATTCCTTCCACCTCCTTTTTCTAATAATCTCGGTGGTGTTGGGTTAGGGGGCAGATTTTATCCTTTGTAACCAAATTTGCATCCCAACCAGACAGGTAAAATGTTGGCTCCCAGCAGGGCAGCTAGCAGTTACAATTAAACGTGTTGCTTCTTACATGGTTAACGCTAAGGGAACGTGCAAAAATAAAAAAATAAAAAGGGCAGCTTCAATCCACGCGGCAAAACAGGGAACAGATAAATGAGCTTGTGCTCATTAGTAATCAAACAAGGGTGGTGAATGTTAACCCCGCACAGCTGACATCTGCTGTGAATTTGTTAGCTGATATTGCTAGAGAGAGCCTTATGTGGTCTCAGCAGGCAGCAAGTGGAAGCAGCTGTAAGCAGCCTTGCACCCTCTATCGTCTCATCAATATGAGAAGAAGAATGTACCCCCTTTGCTCCTCACTAGCACTAACATGTTTCACTCTGTGTTTCGCTTTGTATCTGATATTCTGTTCACGTTCAGTAATTGATCTAAGTCAACATAGGCTGATCGTGATTTTTCAAAAAAAGCCAAAATCAACTGAAAGCCAAACTCCATCCAAAGTTTTATTTTGTTTTGGATAGAGGACAAAAAGTAATGAAAAATCTCTCCAATGGGGTCACAGACAAAAACACATTTTTGGCAGAATAAAATTGGGTTAGAACTTCTGACAGTATTTCTATTATTTCTGATATGGGTGTCACAAGCACGTAGAGATTGTGGTATCCACACTCTATCAAAAAGCTGCCGTCCATGAGAACCTTTTAATTCTTCCAAACAATTACTGTTCCTCTTAAAGTATTACTAAACCCAAGACCCTGTATTCACTATATTGGTCTCTCGCAGTACACAGAACAGAGAAATGGAATTATTTTAGTTAATATAAACTGCTAAATCTATCAGTGTCCAGCAGAGCACTAGTTAAAGCTTGTAGTAGGATTTTTCATTCTCCCTTGATTGTCCTAAGTGTCTGCAGAACCCTTGGCCCTCTGTCTGGACAGTGCTGATTGGCCCTGTGCTGACATGCACTCTCTCAAGAAAATAAAAACAAACTCTCTAGCAATAAACAAAAAACTGAGCATGCACAGCTTGCCCCCAAGGCTCTGTGCTATCAGGAGATGAATCGGGGACAGTAGAAGAAAGGAAGGATCAGAGAAGACAGGATCAAACAGCCTTTTTACACAATGTGGAGAATTAACCCCTTAGGTTCTACAGTGAATATAACAAGCATGCTTTACTGCATATACAGACTGGTTTTACTGCTGTAGGTTTAGTAACATTTTAATCATGAATCCTGCAGCATTAAAGCTTAGACAAAACATTAAAAAAAGATATCAGCACAAGAGACAGTATTTACAGTTCATGCAAAGTGCCTCTTGTGCTGCTGGCTACAGATTTAGTTGAAATGTTAATTCCTCTGATCCCCACCCATCCCCCACAGTGGTAATCTTCCAGTGCTGCAAGAGTTAATAGAGTGGAGGGACCTGTTATATGCACTCATTAAACCTGCCTACTATGACCACCCTTTCACCCTTCCTCCATTCTACCAAGCCATACTATAGGTTCCAAGAATGAAAAGCTCTTGTAGAATGGACAATGGGTGGATGAATGAAAGATAGTGCAGCAACACAAGGGACACTTTACATTGTAAGTGCTGCCCATTGTGCTGGTTTAACTAAACTTAGGCCAAGGTTTCCATCAACAGTCCAATACTGGAGGCTCAGATTGCTGAATGGGGGAATGGCTTTTGGCTCTCACAAGGAATAGGGCTTTAACCCAACTTTGGAAAGCTGAGGATTACTGCATGTGGACAATGCCCATCAGAGGGGTTCAACAGGGATAATAAGAGACCTTTAGTTGCTGAAAGCCATCCAAAACTTAGTTATAACTTAGGGAAGGGTTAGCCTTTAATTACGTTACATTACCTTATGGTACATACTATAAAAATCAGAGCTTAAGAAATGTATAATCTATTTTTATTGATATTCTTAAATAATGCAACTTTCATAACAGGTTGAAAATGTAATGAAATTATATAAAGAATGAAAGAATCCTTTATGCTTTCGTATATGAATGCATTATGATGGATAGTATCTATCATCAGCAAGAATTGGTTCCACTTGAACATTAAATATATTTTTTCTTTAGAATAGTGGCTGGTGTTTCCTATATGCAAGTGACAATAGTGATCAAAACAGTGATACAAATTATTGGATATTGGGGCAAGCAATAAGCAGTGTGACTTTGACAAACGAACTCATACTGTATCACTTCCAGAGCTCGCTCAGGTTAATCAATCCTAGGTATTGGTTCTGGAAAAGGCTGCACACTGTAGAGCATTTAGGTAAGAAACAAATTTAAAAAATATATACAATGTAACACTACAGATGAAAGTGCAAAATATAAATTTTTAATAGTCCCATATTTTTCTAAAGCCATGTAAGTGAAATGTTGCTGCTTATTACAACTAGGGATGAATGAATGTGTCGCATTCTGAAAATTATGAAAATTGAGAACCTAAATTTGAACTGCACTGAAATCTATAGGGGCAAATCTTGAAAATCAATCCTGGACATTTTCAACAAGCAAGGGAATGTCAAAAAGGGCACAGGGAGCTGAACTGCCACGGGGGACATGTATCAATGCAAAAAAAATGATAGAAGAAATAAATAAAACTACTACATGTTTGCTCTATCTATATAATAATGGGGCAAGGGAGCAATACTGTATGTTTTATGTGCAATCTGTTTTATGTTTTGCTTCTGGATTTATTGTATAAACTCTAAAAAAATATATATATTCTCACAATAAACCAAGACACTATTTTCACACCTCAATCAATGTGCACATACTCATGGAATGTGCAGGTTTGAGCTGTTTTCCCCTGCTGGAACAAGATACCACATCCTTTAACCACTTGCCCTCCTGAGGATTTACCCCCCTTCCTGACCAGGCCATTTTTTGCATTATGGCGCTGCGTTACTTTAACTGACAATTGTGTGGTCAGGTAACGCTGCACCCAAATTAAAGCTTTCTTGCGGTGGTATTTGATCGCCTGTGTGTTGTATAATCTTTGCGCTATAAAAAAAAAGACAATTTTGAGAAAAAAACAATATTTTTGACTTTTTGCTATTAAACATGTTCAGTAAAAAAAAAATTAATAAACCAAATTTCCTCATAAATTTAGGCCAAAATGTATTCTGCTCCATGTCTTTGCTAAAAAAAATCCCAATACGTGTAAATTAATTGGTTTACATGAAATTTATAGCGTTTACAAATGGAGGTATAGATAATGGAATTTTTTTTAAATTTTTTACTGGTAATGGCGGCGATCAGTGACTTATAGCGGGACTTCAGGACTGCGGCGGGCATTCTGACACTGGAGGGAACTGACTTGGTGTCATTGACATCCCCAGTGACACCAATACAGTGATCAGTGCTAAAAAAAAAAGCAGATACTGTACTAAGGGCACTGGGCATGAAGGGGTTAACATGAGGGGTGATCAAAGGGTTAGCTGTGTTCTGTTTCACTGTAAGCTCTGTGTGTGTGTGTGCTTCACTGTAATCACATTGCTTTGGATGGCTGTGCACAATACACAATTTAGGGGGGGGGAGGAGCTTGCCAAGGTATGGATCCAAATGGCAGCTCCTGGCCGTTGCCTCTTTCCTTAAATGGGGAAGCCTGGAGAATATTCCAGAAGGATCTTGAATCTTTGGGATTTTTCCACCTGAACCACATGTAAACTAAGGAGTTTTCTTGAAGGGGCCATTACCTAAATTATGAGGAAGATACAAATAACAACAGGGAGAGAGGAGAGAGGCAAGCTATAGTCTCCACAGTCCCATGAAGATGGCACCAATAATTTGAGTGCCACCCTTTTCATTCCTACTAGTTCCACAGACAGACATTGCAGTTCTATTTCTTCACAGTAAGTCAGTCATGAGGGAAGCAGTGCTATCACTACTGGCCTCTATTAGAAAATGTTAGTTGCCTGGCTGCCCCTTGCTTCAGTAGTTTATAAGTTGCTGACCAGGAACAAGTATGCAGCACTTAGCATGAATTAAGAGTGAAGCTTAAACTGTATAATTGATATGAGCTGATGAAGTCGAAGCTTGGGATTTAAAAAAAACATATATACTGTACATACATAGTCACCTCCAGGCCCACTATCAGCTGATTTAAGGGTCAAAGAACTATATTAGTAAATCTACATAGATTGTAGGGGGTGGAATGTGGTACATCATAGTATTAATATGGTCTATCAGGGTATCATCCATATATATATATATATATATATATATATATATATATACAAATAACCCAGTAAAATTGGAGGGACTTTGAATATACTCCTGGTGACGATATTAAAAATTATATATATATATACAGTATCTCACAGAAGTGAGTCCACCCCTCACATTTTTGTAAATATTTGATTCTATCTTTTCATGTCACAACACTGAAGAAGTGACACTTTGCTACAATGTAAAGTAGTGAGTGTACATCTTGTATAACATGTAAATTTGCTGTTCCCTCAAAATAACTCAACACACTGCCATTAATGCCTAAACCGCTGGCAACAAAAGTGAGTACACCCCTAAGTGAAAATGTCTAAATTGGGCCATTTTCCCCTCCCCGTTGTCATGTGACCGTTAGTGTTATTCAGGTGTGAATGGGGAGCAGGTGTGTTAAATTGTTTTTGCCCCTCACCCTCATACTGTTGTTCAACATGTGACTCGTCTGAGAATTGTTGTTACAAGGTCTCAGGTGTGAATGGGGAGCAGGTGTGTAAATGTTATTCAAAATGAGTTAAAAAAAAACTATAGTGTAACACAATGGACCATGATAAAAGTACTGTTACATAAATATTCATCACGATCTTGATGTATAACCTTTGGAAAAAAGTTCAATGCATTTCATGGATCCCCCCACTTCCTCAGGACCAACAAGGATTTTTTTGTACAGAACCACATATATAAGTGGTAATAAAAGCCTCTGCAAATAATGCAAACAATTACATTTAATGGTGTTCCATTTGACATGGAGCCCAGGTAGGAAGGGGAGGAGAGGCCCATCAATACGTTGCAGGGACACTTGTGGGCTTAATTTAGCCCACCTGTGGAGTGAATGGTGGCCCTTTGGAGTTACCCTACAGTATTTAGGCACTGACTTGGGAGGCAAGGTCTATGAGGGCGCTTGGCAAACAGGTGTATGGCAGGTGGTTTACAAGATCAGTGAAATTCTCTCACAAGGACTATAACAACATGATGTTCATGGGGATGCAATATATGGCAATGTATGGCTTGTGTGTTTGTTTTGTTAGGTTGGATCAGTTATGTAGTTGTGTATACATGCTTTAATCTTTTAATACTGTTGATGAGTCCATTCAATCACAGAGGCTGCCATTAGGTGAGCAGTGTCTTTTTTTCTATTTTGGAGATATTTGTGTGCCTTTAATGATAACTGGCCAGTAAAGACACTAATATATATACACATATATTTACCCACATAGAGTCCACTACCTGATACGCATCTACCTAAACCTTCCAATAGGATCCATATTGTTTACCAGCTCCCATGCTATGTGGGGCTGTTGATATAGGAGGGCATTTGAATCTACTATCTTTATATGACAAGTATATTATATTATCAGGCGCTATGAGTGATTTCTATAGGGTGGAGCTTTCATATTGTATAACTAGTGTCCTCTGTATTCTCCTCCACTTTTTAGACAATCTATTTGTGCTTGAATCCCTGGGTTTTTTTTTTTTCCCATGGACCAACAGGCGCATTCCATTTATAACAGTCATCCTCATCACTTTGCTTTGTGTCCCAGAGACATCTGAGAGTAAGATTTGTCATATGGTGCATATGGGATACATGTGTGGGGTAAATTATATGATGATATGTATTTTGGGGATTGTATGTTCATATAATTATTTTATTGTTCTTTTCTTTATTTGTAGAAGCTTTTATTATCACTTATACAGTCAGGCCGAAATTGTTGGCACCCCTTGATATTTTTCCTGAAAATCAAGTATATTCACACAAAAAAGGTATTGCATTAACACATGTTGCTATACACATGTTTTATTCCCTTTGTATGTATTGGAACAAATATAAAACAGAGGCAGAAAAGCAAATATGACATAATGTCACACAAAACCCCAAAAATGGGCTGGACAAAAGTATTGGCACCCTTAACTTAATATTTGGTTGCACACCCTTTGGAAAACATAA